TCTTCTGCCCCAGGGATCGAACTCAGGACCTTACACTTGCCAGGTAGGTGCTTATGCCACTGAGCTATATGCCCAGCCCTAATGAGACTTTTTGAGACAGGGTCTTGCTTTGTAGCCCAGGTTGGCTTTGAACTCACAGCAATCCTCCTGTCTCAGCCTCCTGAGTGCTGTGATTACAGTTGTGTCACCACACATGGCTCCTGGTCACTTTTTTTTTTTGTGTAAAACAGGGTCTCATCACGTAGTATAAGCTGACCTCAACCTTGGCAGCGATCTTCCTGCCTCAGCATTTTGAGTACTGGGATTACAGGCCTGCAGTACCATACCCAGCTCTGGAGCGCTTCTGATACAGACAAGGAATTTTATTTCCAGTATGTAACAGACCTCAAGGTAACAAGTACAAAACTATTATGTACAATCTAGGATCTAGGATTCAGCTTTTTTTTTTTTTTTTTTTTAGGACAGGGTCTATAGGGTTTTAATGTGTAGGATCAGACTTTCAGTGATTCTCCTGTTAACAGCCTCCCAAGTGCAGGGATTACAGGCAAGCACCACCATGCCCAGTCTCAATCACTCTCAGCGCATCCCAGGGGCAGGGCCGGCACAGCAGGCCTGGGGATTGAACTCCTGGCCCCTGCATCTGTTTAAGCAGGTGCTTTAATCCACGAAGCTATTTGGCTGGCTCTCAAAGTTGAGAAGGATTTTTTTTTTTTTTTTTTTTTTTTTTTGCGGAACCGGGGATTGTTTTTTTTCTTTTAGCTGGCTCAGGCTGCTGTAAGGGCAGGTATGTTCGGCATGTAGAACTGGGGATTGAACCGCGGTCCCCTGCGCCTGACTGGGTTTGCCAGAGCAGGTACTTAAACAACTGAGCTAACCCGCAAGCCCCGATTTGTTTTTTGACACAGGGTCTTGCCATGTAATTCAGGATGGCTTTGACTGAACTGCAGCAGTCCTCCTGCCTAAGCTTCCCAAATGCTGAAGTCACAGGCATGGGCCAGCATGCCAGGCAGGCCGCAACTAATTCTTATGTAAAGGTGGTCTTGTGTGGATGCAGGAGATAAGAGGGCTCCAGGAAGTGTGAGCAGGCCCTGCTACAGTCTACCCCAACATGGGAGAAAGGAAGTGGGAGGGCAGTGTAAGTGGAGATGCTGAGCTGGCTGGCTGACTGCATCATGGGACCAGAGCTGGCTCACGCTGCCTCCCGACCGCAACAGCGGGAACAGGCAGGTGTAAGCATTCCTAAGTTCACAGCACAGTGTTTGCAGATGTCAGCCTGTGGCCCAGTACAGGGCGCAGGGCTCAAACCTCCCTTGGACCTGTGGCTAACTAGTGTGGAGTCTTCCTATGATGTCCCTGTGCTACAGCTCTAGCACCTTAACGGTCACTCCTCCCATCCTGAGCCTCCCACGTGTCACCAATGGGTGGGTTCTGGATGCACTTCCCAGAGCACAGGCCGAGGCAGCTGGGAAGTGTCAGAGCTGTGACAGCAGGTGGATGTGGGGACAGATAGGGACTACAGTTCACCAGTTGGATAAATTATGAAATTTATTTATATTTTACCTTTCAAAAGCCAGAACATAACAAATTTCACTTTCTTGAAAGTCATCTTTTTTAGAAATATGTGAAGTGCACTTAAGCAAACAAGCCCCTCGGTTCTGCCCATTAGGTGGATGCACTCATCTAGCTGCCTCTAGCTTCTCAGCCAACTTCCTTCTGCCCTGCTACGGAGGTGTCTGCAGCCCAGGGAGGGCGGCGGCAGCTTTTCCAGGAATGACAATGAAGCAGCTAACCTCAACATCCATCCAGTCAAACACATCAGACAAAGCTCATCACCCCTAGTGGCCCTGTCTTCACTGGTTACCAGCCATCTGTGGCGTGTTCCTTCCCGGCCGGCACAGGGAGCCCAGAGCAGCAGTGTACAGACCCCAAGCAACAATCTCAACCCTGGATCAGAAACACTGCCACATTCAGGCTAAAAATTGTAACAGGAGATCAAATTTAACTCTACATGCCTTTAGGCTGACAGCTCTTAACCTTACATGTACTAACATTCATGAAATATGTGCAACTTCAAACTTCCTGAGCTGCTACTGAAACCAGTTTCCAGTAGACAGCTTTTTTTTTAAAACTGTTCGTCCAAGATGCTGCCTTCCACTAAAGGGCTTGTCGGAAAAAGACACAGGGTGAACAGCAGCTCTCTTGGTGTTGAAAGGCAGGATTTAAAAGATTTACATATGGAAACCAGTGTTATAAGGAAAGCATTTGTGACAGGAAAATAATGCTCATCAAAGTTACCAAGTAGAAGACAAAAGAACCCTCAAAACCACCTCCTTAATCTTCTGAAGACTCCTTTTCATGCTCCAGGACAAGAATCTATGCAAGCTCCCAAACAGAGGTAAGCAGGACTCAGCTATCTGAAAATACAACCTTACTTGAAAATCAAAACCAAAGAGCTATGACCCCCCTAACTTGCTTGGCTGATCCGTCTCTCCACTTACGGACAAATGCATCTTAACTTCCCTAACCTACAAACACCTCACTAAAGATATACAGCTATACCTTACTCTAAAAAGGCACCATGCAGGCATTTAAGACGAACCAGTTCACTCTAAGGATATGAAGGTTGTAGGAAAATATCACTAATAAAACTTCGGGTACCAGATCATGTGAGAAAGTTAGAATGTTCGCTCCAAGAGGGTGCTTGAAATGCTCCCAGGGTGCAGCTGCTGGTAAGGACCTGACAAGCAGCCGGGCAGCACAAACGTGCTGCACCAGAGTTCTCACAGCCCAGGGAGAGGAGGAAGGGGCTGTTTCTTTGTGCTATTCATGATGTGGAAAAGGTCCCGGCTGGCTTGGAGGACCTGAGAGATCAACCCTGGATGAGAGGAACAAGCGTGAAACAAGAACATGAGGAGGTGGAAAAGCTGGACTCCCTTTTAGAAGAGGAAGCAGAAGCTCCCAGAAGTAGCTGAAAGCCAGCAAGACTGGGTCATGTGACAAACAAGGTGAACAGTGGGGAAGACAGCTTTGACAAGAGCCCAGTGGACAAGAGGGCTCCAACCCGGGAGATCCAATGCCCCGTCAAAGTGACTCTGTCTCAGTGCCATGGCTCAATTCCAGGTCTGTTGTACAGTTAAGGTGCAGGAGTCAAAGGTCTCATACTTTAACATATAATGGAAGCTCTACAGCAGGAGACGGACAGAAGGATGCTGCTCACTGATCAATGATGGAGCGCTGCAACACCTGGTTCACCATGTCCTCTTCATCAGCTTCATAATCCTGAGGGCAACACAGACACACAGCCTTAGCCACAGTTCACAGGACCATTCCCTCTGCGCAGGAGCCCAACAGTGTAACCCAGCAAAAGATTTCATTTCATCTTAACTGCCTCATCTTAACTGAAAATGACACCACCTCCCTCCACTGCGGCTTGTGGACCCAGATAGCCATGGTGTCTGGCACATACCAAGTGCTTGGCATGCTTCATTTACTCATGAGTGTAGAAGGCAAACCCTCGCACAGACACCCGAGTGCCCTAAGCGCTGGCTGCAGCGTCCAGTAAAGAACAGTCTTTTTAATGAGGCTAAATAAGTTATCCCAAATTCTGGGTTTCAAACTGTGTCACACTGAGGACAAATACTCTTTATAACCACTTAGGAAAAAGCTTCTGTTCTTAAAGCCTGAAAAAACAGCTATTAAGAACAAACACTTCTCTAAATAAGAAGTTTAAGCAGCTGACCAAATTTAGCACTATTAAATGCCTGAACAACAATGCCCCTGCAAATCCATCCAGCTCTAGGGAAAGTATACAAACTGATAGTTGTGTTTGGCTATGTGCTGTGTGGCCTGCAGTATTTGTGTTATCTGGGTTTTTTGTTTTTTTTTTTTTCTTTTTGAAACAGGGTCTCACTATGCAGTTCAACTTTATAGCTCAGGCTGGTCTTGAACACACAAGGATCCTCCTGTCTATCACTATGCCCAGTGATATGTCACTTCTTATTCTGCATTTCCTGCTGGAGTACTGAATGGTGAGGTACTGTCAATGGCCTGCTGAATGCTGGGTAAGTGCTCTATCACTGAGCCCTCCCACCCCCTAGCTCTGTATTTCTGCCTTATAAATCCTTCTGAAACTAAGTTCTTGCCCATTCCCCACGGGCATCTGAGCCTGAGGCATCCAGTCTAAGTTCTGTAATAAGCAAAAATTACACCAAAAGAATGTGGGTAAAAATGTGAATCAGAGGGGAGAGAAAAGAGCAAATTTCTGTCTCTGTCTAGACAACTGATCAGAATTTTTTTTTGGGGGGGGAAGTACTAGGGGTTGAATCCAGGGTCTTCTGACCTGCATCTATACATCTCCAGGGCCCTGCCCCTCTGGTACTGGGGATGGAACTCAGGAACCTGCATGTGCCAGGCAGTATCCAGCTGTTGAGGTATCTCCCTACACCCCATCCTTTTTTTTTTTTTTTTTTTTGTTGTTGTTCCTCGAATGCCTTCAGGGCACTTTTGGCCAGCAGGAGAGGTGTGAGGTTTGAACTCCAGCAACCTGAGGCTGACAGCTTTGTGGAAGCAG